ATATCACTCATCCTGTACCTCGCTATCTCACCGAAGTCCTCTGCCCTGCTCTGATCTGTGAACCGCCACACAGTAAATCAAGTAATCCCCTATCCCACTAAACACCCTCACCATATCATGTAAATACATTGCTGACAGTGTACTCGTGCATGCCCACTCCCTCATCCGTCTCCCCGCCCTGTCTCTCTCCTACTAGCTCCGTGTCCTGATAAAACCCTCTCAGCCTCATCCTCTCTCCCTCATAGATACTCTAAGTGCACTCTCCATCTTGAATCACGTTGAATCGTGAGTTAATCACATAGTCTCACTCTCCGATGCGCTCCTAGACCACCATCACCACACCTCTACTCTCGCACAATCTTTATCCTACCACACTCCTCCACAATATTAGCCACAACTCGTCTCAGAAAGAATGTGTGCTATGCTCCCTCATTGTGTCAGTCTTAGAGTCACAGATATCAGACTAGTAAGATATAAGCAAATACTCCCCACATCCCCCCCCTTGTCACTTCACCAAATTGTCCTGTGTGTCTAAGTTATCTACTACCCCACGTATGTGTCACATCAGAGAATATCTACTTATAATAATAGTATCAAGACTGTGACTCGTACTTTCAGTGAAGATATCTCTTTGAATACTATGTCACACCCCTGTACCAATTATTGAGTCTCAATAAACCTATGTCCAAAACTCCTTGTCCTCTGTGTGTCTTATCCTCGCTCTCCTCTTGACTCACACTAGATACCTGAGAGTGCCATATGTCAGACTAATGGCCTACACCACTTTCATCTTCGTCTTCTCAACAACAATATCCCTAATCCTACTCTACACCCTCCAGACTACTCTTATCACACATATGAAAACACTAGATAGACAGCCTACCTTTCTCATATCCTGTACTGTTACTTCACACCCAGATACTCATCTACCAGAGATAGTCCATTCAGGAGTCGTACAGTGTCATCGTGACCCGGCATGATCTCTGACGCCAGTACAGTTCAAGTCCACAGACGCCACATCAACTTGTATAACTAAATAACTCCCTCAGCCATCATGCTACCGTATCACATCTTAAACCCTACATTTCCATAAGATCAATGTCCGTGTATCAATCCACCTAGATTCCTCACCTTTTTAAGTAATGCCATTTCCATGTGTGTGTGTGTGTTCTTCCCATGGTCCAGACCACTACTGACCTAACATATAAGATCTACCACATCACTATCATCTACCTACACTGATGGAAAGTGATACCTCAACTAACATCTCCTACCTCTCCTATTGTGATAACATCCCGTGTATACTCTGTGTCTCCCTCCCTCCTCTCAGATCTACTATGGACACTATGATCATACTACGTCGCAAGATCCTGCACATTACCACATCCCATATTACATAGACTTGCCCCCTCTCCCCCTCTCAATCTGTGGACTTTAGTGAATACCACAAAGTTGTAATCCCACTACCCCCTAATTAAGGTTCTTCAACCAATCTCTATCTCACATACCATGTCACGTCAGTCCCTACTTGAATTACAACACACTTGTACGACTCTCCCTCATTCTCTCCTGCCCTACCCTCGTCTCCAAGTGTTTCATGGTCTTCACCTAAAACATACAGAGTGTCTATATGTGCACTGTATTCTTGATCCTCCTACTCTACTACCTCACTTGTCACCCCAGTGACCTTCTCTAGAATATATACTCCCGGCCCTAGTGTGTCCTGCAGTACCTTACAGAGAACATAGAGTGAGTAGAACTGATCAATACACACTCACCTATTAATAATAATGATAGTGTGACCGACTGATAGAACCTCTGCCACGTGTCTAACTAAGACTGACTACCATCCCCAACATACAAGCGTCACTCCTCACGTGAATTTGAACATCTCCTCTCTCTAGTGATTACAGATTGACCTCTTCCCATCTGTGTGCTACATCCTCCCTTTACCACACCACGCACTCCCAACAGTCCAAGAACTCAGATGACTGTAGTGTGAATGTGAGATAAGACTCTTAGACTAATAGATTGGTCTTTCCTCTCATATTTATATACAAGATGTGTCATTATAGACATATCCAGACATGTTAAGTAGTGTCTCACCACACACATCCATTCCTGTGTCTATATCTTCCCATCATTCTCGTTACACCCAGCTCCATCCACCCACACTCTAGTCTCCTATGAGAACATCATCTAGTGACTGACTAACAGCCCACAGATGCAGTATGCCCATGATATAACATCTCCCCTCCTTCCTTGCTCGCCCATTGTCACCTCTTTACACCACTGAGGATCACCTGTCTGTTCTCCTTTTATCACTAATATCATCACCGCGTGACTCTCCTTATAGACTGAATAAAAAATGAATAGTCCTAACATGTATACTCATAAGAGATAGAGAAAAACCAACCAAAACAATCAACATCCTCGCCCATGAACATTACAACATGTCTTCCTATCTCACATCTCCTTGCCACCATGTGACCATACCTATCCACTTCATTACAGACAATAGACCTGATCCTGTGTCATCTTCCAGTGTCCCTCGCACTCCTGTGTATATCTCTCCACTTCTTGTCCTAACTGTACTGCATAATCATCATCACTGAAACCACTAACAGATCACCCGCTATAACCACTATTCACTCTGTGAACACCTACCGCACTCTACTCCACACATCGAAATCTGAACCACCAGTCCTCACTCATACTTAGTATAGACTGTGTTTAGCACGTCTGCTCCTACTCAACAGAAATAAACATCTCGTGTCTACAATTATGTGTTTCAAGATGAAGTGTCTTGTCCAGTACTTCTGCGTTCTTCTCCACTAGAACCACTCTATTTGTCTCGTCTATACGCTACCATCTAGTGCTTCATATATTGTGTACTCTCTTACTAAACAGAGTCGAGTGTAGAGAGACTTTGCCGCACAGCCATTACAGGTCTCAATACTCTATCTCACACGCCTTCCTATGAACCAGAGAACAACAAGTTATCAATGACTTCTCACAAACCCACTCCATACTTGCCTTCAGACACACTAGTACTCCTAGCTGCTAATCGCCGTCCATCATCCCCAAGTATTATCTGTCAACTACTGTGCCTCGTGCTAACTAATCATATGTTCCCTCCTACTCTCATAGCTCTCAACATAAGTCGCATACATTACTCCTATGTCAGCGCTATTAATATCTATAGACTCTATAATCCTCCCACTCAAAAATAACTCAATTATACAAACTATTAACAAAAAACATCCCCCCCTCACGCTCGTCCTCTTTACCCAATTAAACTCTTTTTATTGTCACACCATGTACTGTCACTCCCTGGCTCTCCAGCTAGACGCTGTTAGAAGAATCCCATTTATGAAAAGATAAATAGATGTACTAGACATACTCCATGTAGATGATTAATACCAAACCCAAGTGTTAGAGACCAATACGCTACAACGCTACATCTCTGTAATTTCAGCTCTCCTCATGCGCCTCTGTGACAAGATACTCACCCTCAACAATAGTAAAATAACCCATAACCTACAAGATAGTCGCTCTCATGATCCTACTATATGTTTGCATCCTGCACCCAACATTCCTCCTCTCGTATATGCTCAGAAGAGTGGATAATACAACACCCACGTCCATATTCAGAATGCTGTCCACCCTAACTACAAGTACACTATATCTATGTCCAATATATCTCACAGCATAAGTATACTCTCAGAGAGTCCCTCACGATTTATTCTCCTTGTTGATGCTCCTACTGTATCACCAGACAGTGAGTCGCAAAATTTCCTAGCCAGATAAGATATCATACGTACCACAGAGATACCTGCGTCACCCCCACCCCCACACTTCACTGCCTCATTGTATCCAACCTACACTAACACACTACCCACCCACCCCCACTACACCTCCCAAGTTCTTCAAGTCCTTTTCAGTACCTAACCACATACCAGTGCGTCTTGCCCATCATGCTCTCACTCCTGTTCCATACTTCAACGCGCAGCCACACTATTACCATGTGACTATCCAATCAAGACACACATGGATCACTCTAAATGCTCTGATACCTCGGTGTTCTTACAATCCCGCCCTATTCCCCTCCTAGAACTGTGATATCAACAGATTGTCTCCATTTCCTCTCATATTGCTTCACACGTCATGTATATGATCCTTCTCAAAATCTAAGAAACATGATCACAATGTAAACTAGTGTCAAGCTCTCTAACACCCTACACAAGGACACTAATGCCGCATAGAGACACTGTTCAGCCTTCTCCTAAACCCCCCTACAACACAATAATCCCTTCAGCTACCTTACTAAAACCTCTTCCATCACCACCTATACCTACTAACATCACACCTCTCAACCTCTATCCTATTCACGTGCCTCCAAAATCGCTATGCCTCCATAGTCCCTCCCAGTTAATCTACTACCTTCTCCTAAACCGTGCTCACCTCTCTCTCCTCCTACAACCCATGTCTATTGCCACGGTGATCTCTGTAAAGACCCTTGACAGACCCAATAAGAATAACGTAAGAATAATATTACCCACCCACACTAGACTAACCCAACCCTCTCCAACATCTTTAAAAGTGTCCCCCCCCCAGTTGTAGTCCAGTTTAATCTCCCCTCCACCAATGACTCTCGTTGCACACTCTTCGAACCTCTACAATCATCCACACATGCCTCCCTCCATCACCACACTAGTCTCTACTACCTCCCACTACATATACACAGAGATAACAGCTGGAGATGTCCACTCTATACGCACTCTTATATCAAAGGACCTACATGTCCGAATATACCACTAATCAGAGTCCAATTACACCATATCCCCACACGACGAGTGATTGTCCCTAACCTATTAGGACAGTTCTATCAGTATGTCAATACCCCTACCTCCCAACACCACTGTATCACACATCACCTCCATCACACTCAAGTGTCTGTCATACTCATAACTTACACAACTTTACCCCTCTCGTGTACCATGTGCCCTCCATGTATGCCCACCTACTCACTTTTCATCTACAAACCTCATACTATCCCTAGAGTTCCAAAGCTCGGTAAATCCCTGTTAACCCCTTTCTAAATGGTTAACATTCCCGTCATCTCACCTCTCCAATAACTACATAGTCATTAATTGTGTCACCCACTTCTGCCCCCCCTAACACCAAATATCATAAAGATAGACCGTGCGTCTCCAGTTCCTCTCCCCACCTCCTCACCATACGTGTCTCTCCCTCCATCCCCACCTTCTTAATTTCACTGACACAGCACACTCCCATCTGCATCCCCTTGCTATATATCTTGCTTGTCTCTCCATATCAGTCTATCTCTCCTTGAACACTGTGACACTCTTCCACCACTGCCCCAAGTCCTCCTATACTCTCGCACCCCTCATATCCAAACTATCGCCAGTCACGCCTCACTCCCTCTGTGTCCCTGGTCCTCCGTACCTCGCTGACTCATCATATCTCTACACGCAACCTAACTCTCATCAAATCTACCTCACTCCAAGGAGAGAAGTGTGTGTGTCCATTGAGTCCCCTCACCCATGTCGCCCCACATTCCACATCCCAATCTATCTACAAGTATGTCGAAAGTCAGGTCCATCTAAAACATACCTAACATCTAAACTCTTGTGTAAATGTCACTCTCTTCCGTAAGATATCAACACTCATTGATATACTCTCGTGTGTTCTTATCTCCATCTCGCTCCCTCCACCTCACCTCATTTGTAGCAGAAAGAGAAATCACTCCAAGACAAATCCTTACCGCATATCCTCTAAATCTACACTCTACCCCTCTTGAGCAAAATACTCTTGTAATGTTACTATAGAGATCAATATCTTGCAGAGTCTCTCAGACCCTTCCCCTTTTCAACCCCTTGAGTAGTCGATACACTTACACTATGTCTTGTCAAAATAACCAAAATACTGTTCATCCTATCTTACCCTAGATAGCTCTCTGTGTGTCCCATACCAATTACATCCTCCCTGACTTCCTACTCACTCTAAATATAGTCTCATCCATGCACTAGCACTCTTGGCAATACTCATTAGTCCAACTTCCTGTTAACCACTGATATAGTCTATATGTCTGATTACTTCACGCCTCTCTCACACGCCCGTGCTCATTCTGATCCTTCGTGTGTGAGTGCTAAACCAGAGAACAAACCTCTATCCAACTGTAGAGTGTTCTCCACACACCTGTAGTAGTGCCAACTGATGCAACCAAACCCAGATCTCACCTCTTCTCTCACTCCTTATGCTCCTGGTCATAATATGACTAGAATCTCATATAACTCGCCTGTGTCAAGACTCCTTCTGAGACACTCCTACATGTGTAAGAATCAGATATCATCACCATAAACACGTGTACTTTTCGTATATACCCATTCTATACTGTGAGTCTTAGTGTTCAATATGTCACTCCTGTCTCTTCCCACGCACACCCTATGTACGCATATGTCCCCATCCCCCTCAAACCCTTCAAACCAGAACCATAGACCTAGTAACTCCTCCCTCATGTTCATGGGTCCTACGAAACTCATCTGTGTCAACCCGTTGTGCTCTCTCACCTCCTCTCGAACGCACGAATCAAATCGTCACCGCACGCACTGACTCCTACTTCTCAGCCGTCCTTAATCCCAAAAGTATCCTCATATATCTATTTCTCTCTGTCCTCATCTCGCTCGCATCTATCACTACAAGAGACGTCACTCTGCAGTCGCGCATTCCAGATATTCCGCACTATATCATTGTCGTCCTCCCCTCCAATGTGTGTACAGAGTTATGCTATCATTGTCCCACATGTACCGACTCCCCTCGCCTAGTCCCTACACCCCCAATCAAAATAGACTTATCAGAGAGATGACATCGCATAGAAATATGAGAAACACAGTGTCCCAAAATCTCTCTAAGAAGTACTAAATTATACAAAAAATCACTCTAAGAATCCATCGATCTATACTCTCTCACTACTATAGAAAACCTACGCTCACGTCCAGATTGATAAATGCGGAAAAGTGTAATATTTTGCGTACGCCTCATTTACCCTGATTTGGCCGTACGCAGGTTTCATACATGAGGCCCACATGAGGCCCACAGTGAGGCCTACAGTGAGGCCCACAGTGTGTCTCACACAGGCCTAGAGTTTACCTCATCAGTGCGAGGCGAGCCTGGCCTGACCGACGCTCTCCTCCTCTGGGACCTACGGGCCCGGGCCTCTGGCTCCTCTACCTCACAAAGTTCACGCTGAACTTTCTTAAAATTAAAATGAAAAAGGCTGCTCTGTTGTGAATGCTTTGAGAGCGTTGTCAATCTTTAAGACGAGGAATAGCTGGTTGTTCTCGCTTCACGCTGTGTAATATGATATTGGACAAAATTGTTCAGCCAATAAACAGGACTATATTTGAAGCAACGTAGGAACGTGATGACGCTCAGGGGGTTATATTATTATTATTATTCCCCCCACTGTAGGAGCCAATACACTTTTCAATATTTTTGAATTCTGAGCGTTTCCAATTGTATTTAAAAATGGGAAACCTAATTAAACAATCATGAATTGAGCTTTTTCGATCTTATTTTTACACTGATTCCTTTGATCATTTTTTTCTTAAAGCTCAAGTTGTAAAAATGCTATGTTTGAATTGGTTATTTACATTTTAACTGTGAGTGACACGTAAGGCGGGACAACAATGCACAATGACGCACGCATTCTGAATAGAATAATATGTATTAATATCTCTAAAACTAAAAGAGCATATTCAAGTTTTACAACAAAAACGACGTCATATGCGTGTCCATTATGCGTAAAAGCACAGTGCCCTCAGCAAAACCACGTATTTGGAAAAACTATAGGCTAACAGATGTAGTAGCTCTAGTTTCAATCGTCCTCATTTTATTCAGTCAGACTTGTCAAATATAGATGCCCATGGGAGAGTGAGCAAGGGGAGATAACATGCCCATAACATGCCCAAAAATATCCTGCATAGACTCAAGCTGCGATCAGCTGAAATATGAGCACACAAAGAGCGAGAGGGAAAAAGAAAAGTAAATAGGCTTAGGCTAGTTAGTATTTTTTCTCTCACAAAAGTTGGCACGGATCATATGCCATCTTTCGTGGAGGAGGAAACATCAAACATCAAAGGGCGCACGCGGGGAACAGCGGGACTAGTCTCGTTGTTGAAGTCCCGATGTTCCCCCACTTCTATTGGCGGGGGAACATCGGACCCGGGGAACATCGGGACTTTTTAATACGCGAAGTACCGATGTTCCCCGGGTCCGATGTTCCCCCGCCTATAGAAGTGGGGGAACATCGGACCCGGGGAACATCGGACCCGGGGAACATCGGTACGCACCCTCCTAAGGTGTGAGTACGGGTACGGGTACAAGCCTATGGTATCGACCAGTATCGGTATCGGTGCAGCCCTAGACTATGAATAGATTAATAGCAAAATCAGATAAGTGACATTAGAAAAAATATTTAAAAGTATTGTTCTTTACCAAGTAGTTTTATTAAAAGCCAGGTTTATTTTAGTGCATCCATCCATCCATTTTCTTCCGCTTTATCCGTTGCCGGGTCGCGGGGGCAGCAGTCTAAGCAGAGACGCCCAGACTTCCCTATCCACACACACCTCCTCCAGCTCGTCCGGGGGGACCCCAAGGCGTTCCCAGGCCAGCTGAGAGACATAGTCCCTCCAGCGTGTCCTGGGTCTTCCCCGGGGCCTCCTCCCGGTGGGACGTGCCCGGAACACCTCCCCAGGAAGGCGTCCAGGAGGCATCCTGAACAGATGCCCGAGCCACCTCAACTGGTTCCTCTCTATTTTAGTGCATTAGAAATAAATTTACTGGATTCAAGATACACACCCCCTCCATCAACCACATCACCCTTGTCCTCACCCCCTCCATCAACCACATCACCCCTGTCCTCACCCCCTCCATCAACCACATCACCCCTGTCCTCACCCCCTCCATCAACCACATCACCCCTGTCCTCACCCCCTCCATCAACCACATCACCCCTGTCCTCACCCCCTCCATCAACCACATCACCCCTGTCCTCACCCCCTCCATCAACCACATCACCCCTGTCCTCACTCCCCCTCCATCAACCACATCACCCCTGTCCTCACCCCCTCCATCAACCACATCACCCCTGTCCTCACCCCCTCCATCAACCACATCACCCCTGTCCTCACTCCCCCTCCATCAACCACATCACCCCTGTCCTCACCCCCTCCATCAACCACATCACCCCTGTCCTCACCCCCTCCATCAACCACATCACCCCTGTCCTCACCCCCTCCATCAACCCATCACCCCTGTCCTCACTCCCCCTCCATCAACCACATCACCCCTGTCCTCACCCCCTCCATCAACCACACCCCCCTGTCCTCACCCCCTCCATCAACCACATCACCCCTGTCCTCACCCCCTCCATCAACCACATCACCCCTGTCCTCACCCCCTCCATCAACCACATCACCCCTGTCCTCACCCCCTCCATCAACCACATCACCCCTGTCCTCACCCCCCTCCATCAACCACATCACCCCTGTCCTCACCCCCTCCATCAACCACATCACCCCTGTCCTCACCCCCTCCATCAACCATTACACCAACATTATACCAACATTACATCCATCCACAACCTCGCTCCTCCAAACCTGACTGACATCCTCCAGATCTCCACACCTGCCCGCTCCCTCCGCTCCTCCTCCTCCCTGCAGCTCCTGGTCCTCCCTCCTCCTCGTCACCATGGGGACCAGAGCCTTCAGCCGCTCTACTCCCCAGCTTTGGAACACTCTCCCCCCTGACCTCCGTAACACCAACTCACGAACATCATAGCCACACTCTCTTCTGTTCATGATGCTTTTGACTTTGTATTTTAACTGTTTTTAACATTTTTACTTGTATGTAAGGCGACTTTGAGTGTCAAGAAAGGCACCTAAGAAATAAAATGTATAATTATTATTACAAGAATTTATTTGCCATTTACAGTAAAACCTCATTGGAAAAATCGTCCGAGACTTCTCCAGTTTGCACCAGACAGAACACACCTGAGCTCTTGCCCAGTTTTATCCTTTTTTTGAGCAAATTCTTCCAAATGTTGTTGTTGCTTCCACTTCCTCACGTTTTGTAAAAGCCTCTGTACAAGCTTAAAGTCACGACAAAACCACATCTGAAGCTGATAATATATGGCTTTGTCACGACTGAGACAAAACACAAAAACATCCCAAAGGAAATGTTTTTGAGCGTGTCAGTGCTAGGAATTGTGCCTATGAAAATGTGCTGTTCCGTTCACATAAGGCAGAGACTGTAATTTAACGCTTTAATGGTTTCCTCGACTGGTAGATCAGTTTTTAAGTCCCTTCATCGACTTGAAGCTTGGAACTGACTTAAATCTACCTCATTAGGGCACTTGGTTTTAGGCTCTTTCTCCATCAAACTGCATCTGTACCATTTGGTAGAGAAATCTATGGGGTCCAAACAAAATATTCATGTTGAAAGTGCCGCTATAACTTTGAAAACCCAACAATAAATATTCCATTGCTTTCTTCAAGGAGTTGGTTAAAGGGTTAATGTCAAAATGTTTCGAACCTTTAGCCAAACCGGATCTTGATACAAGTTTAAACATATTCTCAAGAATTCTACAATCCAAGCATTTATATAAAAAAGACACACTATTCACAAAAATTAAGCAAATTCATCATTATCTTTCTTTTACAAAGGAACAAGAAACACAACGAGGCAACAATCTTTCGATCTTTCGAGCTTTGATACTTTTTCTTTGAAGTGAATTGTCCAGACGGCTTTACGTGATGTTGATGTGTTTCATGTGTTTCAGTCCGATGCTGAGGATGTCCTTCATAACCTTCTCCTCAGAGGCCTCCACCATCATGAAACTGACTGAAAACAGGTACCATACAATTTCTATGTTTTTGTGCCGTAACTTTACCCAGTTTTCAGTCTCATGAGCCCCATTTCCACCAGCCCTACTCGGCCCTACTCTACACGACTCGACTTAAATCTAGTCTTCTACTGGAACAATAGACTAAAGTAGAGCAGAGTAGAGTAGAGTAGGAGCCCCCATTTTTTGGTGGAAATGTTTGCAATATTTTTGTGTTTGTTAGCAGTAGTGTAGTAGTAGGGCTGGGCGATTTCACAATATAAGTAATTTATATCGGTCGATAACAATATTTATTATATGACTTGGACCGAACGCGCGCTCTGATTGGCTAATATTTTCCCATCTCGGACCGTTACCATGACAATTGGTCCGAACAGTGCGTATCACATTTGATATCTTTCCTCGGACCGTTACCATGACAATCTGTCCGCAGCGCGTATCACACAAAACCAAGTCGGACATGAACATACTTTTCAGATTCAGTTTATTTGCCATTTGCAGTAAAAAAAACACATTGGAATACATTAGCAAAAAGTCTCCAGTGTGCACAGACAAATACAGACATAAAACAACATTAAAAGACAAAAATAAAACAAATAAAACAGTAAACAAATGTCACTGTGAAAGTGCAAATCATTAAAGTTCTCTGTTCACACTGATAACATCTTGTGGATAAAAACTGTTAATACTTCACAAATATCTCAAAAGCATTGGTAAAGACACAGACGAGAGTCATTTAATAAAACATTTATTAACTTCGCTTGCTCGGTCTGTACATTAAGGCCGCGGTCTGATGTTTCTCCATACAGACCTTGCGCTCGGTTAGTAAGCCGTTAATATTGATTATTTAGGTTTAAAAAAAAACAAATACGTTTGTCGTGTCGGCTAACAAACGTTAGCAGCCTTGTTTACAGTCACGGGGGAATGAGGCTAGAGGAGTATGTTCACAAGCAGTCTCCCCCATAGTTAGTCCTGGTGTAATCCTAGTTTAGTTCTGGTTAAGCTCCTGTTTTGGCTGTTTTCGAGTGTCTTCTCCGTGACGCTCCGTGCGGCTGTGCTTCCCGAGGAGAAAGTTTGTCTCTTGGTTTCGCTGAATGCATCGGGTTTCTGTGTCCACTGCCTCTGCCACGCCGCACATGCTATTCCTCGCACGGACTAATTCACCCTCGCTGTGTGAAGGAGAGGTTCCGTAGGTCTTTCCTTCCTGCTGCTGTCAGACTGTACAATAAGAACTGCTGAGCCTGTAAATTTCATTCATCTGTAATTAAGTAAATTCTTAAATCATGTGCAATGTGCAATACTGCAACTTCAGAATGTCACAGAACAATGTCACTTTACCTCATGTCACTTTACTTATATACTTTTTATCCTGCACTATTTAACTGTACAGTATATAACTGCACTACTACATATATATTTTGACTGGTATTGAAGCATTTTCAGCATCTACAGCTAGTTATGTTAGCTAAGAAACATAGCTACTACTTATTTGTATATATATTGTGTGTGCTCCCTGTGTGCTCTTACTACTGTCCTGTGTGCGCTGCAACAACGACATTTCCCCACTGTGGGACGAATAAAGGAATTCTTATCTTATCTTATCAAACCCATTGACACGCCTTTGAAACACGATCTTTAGATCCATGGACGCTACGCACAGTGCGGGTTTTGTTTTTGCATTTCCCAGAATGTTTTGCGGTTCATGCCCGGCTGTGATAGGTCGAGAAGCCTCTGCCTACATCCCCCAGAATGCCGCCCACTTCTGACTCGGGTTTACTTCCTGTGTTTTGTTCCTGTTTTTTTCTAACGAAGTGAAGTTAAACTATTGAACATTCTATGGACCCCGTTTTCTATTGATATCGAACACATGTCTATCGCAATATATATTGTTATCGTTTTATCGCCCAGCCCTGTAGTAGTGTAGTAAGCGTAAGAATACATTTTGACTCTCCTTGTACTTTTAGCGGCCGATTCTAGAGTTTGTTAGTCTTTTTACCTTATTGTTTTTCCATCCAATCATCCATTTTATTCCCCTTAATCCATTTCTGGGTCTGGGGGTGGCAGTCAGAGCTGCACCCCATCTCAGCCGCCACGTGTTGGAGTTCTCCCCGGTGAATGAGAGGGTCGCGTCCCTCCGCCTTCGGGTGGGGGACAAGTCTCTCACTGTTGTGACGGCCTACGGGCCTAACAGCAGTGCAGAGTACCCGGCCTTCTTGGAGTCCTTGGGAGGGGTACTGGACGGTGCACCAACCGGGGACTCCGTTATTCTCCTGGGGGACTTCAACGCCCATGTGGGAAATGCCAGTGACACTTGGAGAAGGGTGATTGGGAAGAACGGCCCGTCCGGTCTGAATCCGAGCGGTGTTCAGTTGTTGGACTTCTGTGCCAGTCACGGTTTGTCCATCACGAACACCATGTTCGAGCACAAGGGTGTCCACCAGTGCACGTGGCACCAGGACACCCTAGGCCGGAGGTCGATGATCTTTGTTGTCGTATCATCTGACCTTCAACCATGTGTTTCGGACACTCGGATAAAGAGAGGGGCGGAGCTGTCAACCGATCATCACCTGGTCGTGAGTTGGATCCGCTGGCAGGGGAGGAAGCCGGTCAGACCTGGCAGACCCAAGCATGTAGTGAGGGTCTGCAGGAAACGTCTCGCTGAGCCCCCTGTCAGACGGACTTTCAACTCACACCTCCGGGAGAGCTTCTCCCAGGTCCAGGCGGAGGAGGGGGACATTGAGTCCGAGTGGACCATGTTCTCTTCCTCTATCGCCGATGCGGCGGCTCGTAGCTGTGGTCGCAGGGTCTCTGGTGCTGGTCCCGGCGGCAATCCCCGAACCCGGTGGTGGACATCGGCAGTAAGGGATGCCGTCAGGCTGAAGAAGGAGTCCTATCGAGCCATGATGGTTCGGGGGACTCCTGAGGCAGCTGTCCAGTATCGGCAGGCCAAGCGCGCCGCGGCCCGGGCGGTTGCAGAGGCAAAAACCTGGGACTGGGAGGAGTTCGGAGAGTCCATGGAGCATGACTATCGGTCGGCCTCAAAGAGATTCTGGCAAACCGTCCGGCGCCTCAGGAGGGGGAAGCAGTTCTTTGCCAACACCGTGTACGGTGCGGATGGAGGGCTGCTGACCTCAACTGGGGATATTGTCGGGCGGTGGAAGGAATACTTCGAGGTTCTCCTCAATCCCCCCGTCACGTCCTCCGCCCTGGAGGCAGAGGCTGAGGATGTTGGGGCGGATACTTCCATCTCCCTGGCAGAGGTCACCAAGGTGGTTGGCAGCCTCCATGGTGGTAAGGCGCCGGGAGTGGATGAGATCCGTCCTGACTATCTAAAGTCTCTGGATGTTGTGGGACTGTCTTGGCTGACACGTCTCTGCAACATCGCGTGGCGATCGGGGGCGGTGCCAATGGAGTGGCAGACCGGGGTGGTCCCTCTCTACAAGAAGGGGGACCGGAGGGTGTGTTCCAATTATCGTGGGATCACACTCCTCAGCCTCCCTGGTAAGGTTTACTCCAAGGTACTGGAGAGGAGGCTACGGCCGATGGTCAAATCTCGGATTCAGGAGGAGCAGTGTGGTTTTCGTCCCGGTCGCGGAACATTGGACCAGCTCTATACTCTCCATCGGATACTCGAGGGTTCATGGGAGTTCGCCCAACATGTCCACATGTGCTTTGTGGATTTGGAGAAGGCGTTCGACCGTGTTCCCCGGGGTTTACTTTGGGGGGTTCTCCGGGAGTATGGGGTCCGGGGTCCTCTGCTGTGGGCCGCCCGGTCCCTGTATGACCGGAGCCAGAGCTGTGTTCGCATTGCCGGCAGGAAGTCAGACCTGTTCCCGGTGCATGTTGGCCTCCGCCAGGGCTGCCCTTTGTCACCGGTTCTGTTCACTGTGTTCATGGACATTTCATGGACATTTCATGGAATTTCTAGGCGCAGCCAGGGGTCAGAGGGGGTCCGGTTCGGGACCACAGGATTTCATCGCTGCTGTTTGCGGACGATGTTGTCCTGTTGGCTCCAACGAACCAGGACCTGCAACATGCACTGGGACGGTTTGCAGCCGAGTGTGAAGCAGCTGGGATGAGAATCAGCACCTCCAAATCCGAGGCCATGGTGCTCGACCGGAAAAAGGTGCCTTGCCCTCTTCAGGTGGGTGGGGAGGTCCCTCCTCAAGTGGAGGAGTTCAAGTATCTCGGGGTCTTGTTCACGAGTGAGGGAAGAATGGAGCGTGAGATTGACAGGCGGATTGGTGCAGCGTGCGCAGTGATGCGGTCGCTGTATCGGACCGTTGTGGTAAAGAGGGAGCTGAGCCGAAAGGCAAAGCTCTCGATTTACCGGTCAATCTTTGTTCCCTCCCTCACCTATGGTCATGAGCTTTGGGTAATGACCGAAAGAACGAGATCGCGGATACAAGCGGTCGAAATGAGCTTCCTCTGCAGAGTGGCTGGGCGCTCCCTTAGAGATAGGGTGAGGAGCTCAGTCACACGGGAGGAGCTCGGAGTAGAGCCGCTGCTTCTTCACGTCGAGAGGAACCAGTTGAGGTGGCTCGGGCATCTGTTCTGGATGCCTCCTGGACGCCTCCCTGGGGAGGTGTTCCGGGCACGTCCCACCGGGAGGAGGCCCCGGGGAAGACCCAGGACAGGCTGGAGGGACTATGTCTCTCAGCTGGCCTGGGAACGCCTTGGGGTCCCCCCAGACGAGCTAGAGGAAGTGTGTGTGGATAGGGAAGTCTGGGCGTCTCTGCTTAGACTGCTGCCCCTGCGACCTGGCAACGAATGAAGCGGAAGAAGATGGGATAGGATGGGGGATGGGATGAAAAAATGTGACTAACCTGCTTTAACGCGATAATTTTGACAGCCCTAATATTTAGTTATTGATGTTTGAAACAGTGCGAGGGCCTTTGGTTACGTCTTACTGTCTTTGAATTCTCAGAGTGAACATTCAAAAAGGCCTCAACTCTTTGCGACGGGAGAGACCAGGCGGAGACACCAACTTGAACAAGGGACTGAGAAACGTAAGCCTGCTCCATGTTCACACACAAAACATAACGGAAAAAGTATGTACTCATAATTGACTCGACCTTTTCTCCCTCGACAGGCCAACGAGCAGATCTACAGAGAAAACTTTGGTAAGCTTTTATCTGGTCATTTCTGGGTTTGAAACATTTTTTCTTGAGTTTGTAGTTAGTAAGTAAAGTTGATTTGTATAGCGCCTCACACAGACTATGATCACAAAGCTCTTCAGATTAAAAACAAAAACATTAAACTCAGGTCACAGTGGCCTATGCACAGTGAGGTGAGAAACCCTGTCCAAACTCTAACCCTAACCCTAAGTCAGTCTTAAGATGGGACTTAAAATCAACAACAGACTCTGAGATGCGCAGAGACTGGGCAAGCTCATTCCAAAGGTGACCATGAAGAGCCCTGAATGTCAGTACCAGAATTTTATTATTGAATCTGTGTGAGACAGAGAGCCAGTGTAAGGACTTCAAGATAGGAGTAACGTGGGCTCTCCAGTGGGTGCGGGTCAAAAACTGTGCAGCAGAATTGTGAATAATTTGAAAACAATCCAGATCTTTTTTTACTAAGACATGTAAGCAGGCTGTTACAATAGTCCAATTGGGAGGAAGGTAGTTTGACTTTGCGTTTGTTGAAAGGCACGGCGAGTGTGATCATCGCTCTAACAGATGGCGAATTGCGGGACGAACAGCTTATCACGGCTCAGGACGAGGTAACGGCCGCTCACTCCAACCGAGCTACTCCAAAAACCAGGCTCTCTGGTCTGTTCCGCTGTGGAGGAGCCGGATATATGACTTCCTTCTTTCTCTTCCAACAGGCCAAGAGAGCCAGGTCTCTGGGAGCCATCGTGTACTGTGTGGGGGTCAAAGACTTCAATGAAACGCAGGTAATGGCTCTCTACTCACAGGTTTTTTTTTAGTAAATACAATGGAGATGTTTAAACTGGAATCTGCAGACACACTCTTAAAATACATCGGTTGAATCTGTCCGTGGGAGGTTGAAGATCCCTCCCTCAATGTGTTTAGAGTTGTTTGTTGCAGATGAAGGAAGGTCTAAGGACAGTGGTGCTGACCCTCAACATTCACCATTTATGGACATTATTCATCTGCCCCTCATCGACTTATCACTATATGTGTTTTTTATCATTGCTTTTCCTGTGTTTGAACCATAGACTGTAAATATTAACAGACGTAGTCACGCCTATCTCCGCCGTTCTAACTAATGTGCCACAACGTCTGCGGTCTATGGGCAGTTTCAAAATGGCCGCGGGGGATGGAAAATGTGAAAAAAATACATCTGTGCATGCATCAGCTGCATGAGCCCCATTCATTTGACGAGTGATTTCAAAAGTCCACAGCGACTAAACTAGACTGGTCCAAAAAAATTCACCCCCCTCAGCATTGACACACATGTGGAACGGAGCTTTGGGCCAAGAGCAACTTTTGGACCATCCTGTAAAGACGTTTTCGAGAGGTCTGCTAATATGTTAGCATTGAATAATTCTTATTCCGGGTCCACCCCCACAGGCCCGGGGTGGTATTGCAGTATGTCAGAGGACAGCATTTTGGCCACTTTTGACCTGGGACCCGCCCCCACTGGTCTGAACTGTTTGATTTTCTGATCTGTGTTGGAGAATTCAACAGTTTTGTAAATTCATCCGAGATAACTACTGTTGTGATTTAGGACTATAGAAGAACTACCCTACCCTACCCTACCCTACTCTACTCTACTCTACTCTACTCTCCACTATACTTATTATGAATGCGGTCCCATAAGGTCCTTCCATTACTGTACAAAACCCTGCTTTCTCACACGACTGAATACATCTATTCACTGAACTCTTTAAGCTATGACCCCAGAAACCCCAGCGTTTGGCTTGTTCAGTCTGTAGCTGCCCCTCTGTAGCTGCCCCTCTCCAGGGTGCCCCTCTGTAGCTTCCCCTCTCCAGGGTGCCCCTCTGTAGCTGCCCCTCTGTAGATGCCCCTCTGTTGATGCCCCTCTGTAGCTGCCCCTCTCCAGGGTGCCCCTCTGTTTATGCCCCTCTGTAGATGCCCCTCTGTAGCTGCCCCTCTGTAGCTGCCCCTCTGTAGATGCCCCTCTGTAGATGCCTCTATTTGCATTTGTTGTAAGTGCAGCTATTACTTGATTGTGCGCAGTAAGAATTCCATGTCTCATTTCCTGCCTCAGTTTAGGATCCACATGTCCGGTCTTATGTCACTGCTCATACAGATAGTTGTATGATCTATGGCAGTGTTTTTCAACCACTGTGCCGCGGCACACTAGTGTGCCGTATGATATTGTCTGGTGTGCCGTGAGAAATTCGTCTACTTTGTCTAAAAATAACTGAATTCGCTGTTGACGAGCGGTGACTTGTTTTGAACTGTCGAGTAACCATGTAATACTTTTTCAAATCAGTAGATGGCAGCAGATACAGTAGCTAAGTACTTTGAAACTGAAAAATTGGATGCGACCACTGGCTGTAACAGGTCAGCATTGTGGCGAGAAAGGTAAAATTGGATGCGACCAACAAATGTGGGAGGGAGCGAGACAAAGGCTTTGTGGCGAGTGAGAAGTGAAAGTGATAGAGACGTTTTTGAAAATGAATTATGCCGTTTCTGAACAGGATTAACATCCTCCGCTCTGCCCCGGGGCAGCTGTGGCCGCGTTGTAGTGGTTTAACTATGAAATGTACAATTTTTGTACAACAGCTCTCGCGAACGCACTTCTGAACTGGGTACCGAGCGCAGACCATAGTCGAGTGGACAGAACCATAGACATGCGGACCGGACAGAACCATGGACTCGCGTTCAGGACCTCCCGTGTCCCTCATCCAAAACTCCTGAATTTAAAGCTCGGATACCTAAATTTTTCCCATGCACTAACAATGCAGGTTCTTTGTGTGAGTTATTATTTGACTATTTGGGCAGAGAGTGGATTTTCTTAGTTTTTTTCCACACAGTTAGTGCCACTTTATTCCCAAACTCTTGTTAATTGTATCGAGAAATATTAAATAAAGCTTAATTTCAAGACCTGGACTTAAGCATTTTGATGAGAATAACTGTATATTGTGAATATAGGCTACAGAGTATACTGTATACATTATAAGATAAGATGAGATATACTTTATTATATCACAGAGTATGTACAGTATATATTTTTACATTATTGCTGTATACATTTTTACATTTTCTCCTGGAGGTGTGCCGCAAGATTTTTTCAGTGAAAAAAGTGTGCCTTGGCTCAAAAAAGGTTGAAAAACACTGATCTATGGCATGGGCAGCCACACCGAAGCATCAGCCTACTGTGAGGACATTGGCCATCTGCCCCTTATGGACCAATACCAATGTGTTTTCCTCATTGCATTTCTTGACTGTTTGATTCTCTGATCAGAGTTGTGTAAAGTCCTCCGAGATACAAGAATAAATTGAATGGAATTGAATTGAGTTAAATATTGGGGCAGAACAAGAAGTGCAGCTGTGACCTTGGAACTCTGCACAGAAGAATGTCATAGTCTGTATAATGCATGAGGATAGACTGAGGGCGCGCTGCTGATCTATGGCTTACACTCTCCTGGGAATACCCGAGCTGCTGTGTGCGTTCAAACTGCCCAACAGACTGGAAACCCTGGACAAAATGTGTTTGTCTACATCAGTCAGTTTGTGTTTTTTGTCTTTAGTTAGTTCGTTTGATAGCAACTTTATTGATCCCTGTAGGTGAAATGCAGGTATCCAGTAGCAGCAAAAACACATCCATCCAAACCAACAAAACAAATGCATTGATGATTCTAAAAATCTAACAATTGAATTAATAAACAACAGTCCTTCAGGTCACAGCAGCAGCGGAGCAGCCGCTTGGTTCAGACCATTTTCTCTGCTCTGGTCCAAAGTAAAAGGCTAAATACTTCATTAGCATTTATCAAAAAGTTAGCATTCTTCCAGTAGATTTTGATCTGATCCACTTGGTTCAGACCATGAATCCTCTCTGCTCTGGTCTGGACCAGTGTAAAACCATGAATCCTCTCTGCTCTGGTCTGGACCAGTGTAAAACCATGAATCCTCTCTGCTCTGGTCTGGACCAGTGTAAAACCATGAATCCTCTCTGCTCTGGTCTGGACCAGTGTAAAACCATGAATCCTCTCTGCTCTGGTCTGGACCAGTGTAAAACCATGAATCCTCTCTGCTCTGGTCTGGACCAGTGTAAAACCATGAATCCTCTCTGCTCTGGTCTGGACCAGTGTAAAACCATGAATCCTCTCTGCTCTGGTCTGGACCAGTGTAAAACCATGAATCCTCTCTGCTCTGGTCTGGACCAGTGTAAAACCATGAATCCTCTCTGCTCTGGTCTGGACCAGTGTAAAACCATGAATCCTCTCTGCTCTGGTCTGGACCAGTGTAAAACCATGAATCCTCTCTGCTCTGGTCTGGACCAGTGTAAAACCATGAATCCTCTCTGCTCTGGTCTGGACCACTGTAAAACCATGAATCCTCTCTGCTCTGGTCTGGACCAGTGTAAAACCATGAATCGGACTTTCTGCCGTTTCCAGTCTATGAATTAAGTTCTTATTTCTTGTCTGCTTTACCGTCTGCCTCACTGCATCTGTTCATCTCTTGAGGACAAACAGGTTTTTGTCATCGTGACGTGACTTCCTGTATCCGGTGAGCGTGTTTCTTGACTGCTATCACTCTGCTCTCTGTTTGCACTAACAAACACATTACAAATCCACGTATTGTACACCAAGCTAACTGTGTAAGCACTCCGAGTCAGCTGTACTGTAGCTGAGGTTTAGGTAGCGGTTGTTTGTCTGGTCTCGGAGTCTGTTGTGCGGGCCCGGATCCGTACTAGCTTAGCCTAGCCTAGCTTAGCCTAGCCTAGCCGCTAACTCGCTACTATGGCGGCTGCTGTCTCTCCCTCAATCCTTTACTGCTCGAGTTGCCATATGGCGAGTCTAAACCCTGGATCCTTCTCTGAGGGTAGTGATAGATGTGTGAAGTGTAGTGTAGTCGTAGCTCTGGAATCCAGGGTCAGTGAGTTAGAGCTGCGTCTCCGAGCACTGGAGTCTCGAGCTAGCGCTAGCATTAGCTACAGCCAGGCCGTATCCTCAGGGACAGCGGAGCGCAGCTTTAGGGAAAGGCAGAGGAGAACTAGCGAGCCTAGCCTCCCAGCCCGTCCTCCGCAGCTGGGACAAGACCAGGATAGTGATGGCTTTGTGACTGTTCGGAGAGGGCGACGTGTTGTTGGTAGTTTCCCCATTGGGCCTCCTCCTGTTAGCATTTACAATCGCTGGGACGCTCTGTCCGGCTGCGCCCCCGCGCGGCCGGGCGGGGAAGAAGGCCCTACTGAGAGAGCCCCGCTGAGAGAGCCGATGGAGTCGCTGATGCGCTGGTAATTGGCTCCTCTATTGTTAGAGGTGTTAAGATCCCAGGAGCCACTGTTCGGTGCTTCCCTGGGGCCAGGCTTGGTGATATTGAAGGGAATCTGAGGCTCATGATGACCCACAAGCAGCGTTTCCATCGAATTGTTATTCACGCGGGTGGTAATGACGTTCGGCGGAAACAGTCCGAGGTGTTGAAGCTGCAAGTCGCCGCGGTGTGCAAGCTGGCTAGCACAATGGCCGACACTGTCATTTTCTCTGGGCCCCTACCTAGCACTAGCAGTGCAGAAGCATTCAGCAGACACTCGGCTTTCAACCGCTGGCTGTCTGGCTGGTGCCCTCGAAGTGGTGTTGTTCATGTTGACAATTGGAGTGCCTTTTGGGGAAAGCCCGGTCTCATCCGCTCGGATGATATCCACCCAACGTTGGCGGGTACATCCCTTTTGGCTAAGAATTTGGCCCTGGCTCTAAACTGTTCTGCTCGGCTCAAATGACGATGCAGAACTGAGGCCCGGGTGCAGAGCTGCTCTGCCACAACCTCTGAGCCCCCATCTGTTCAGTTACTAGCCTCAGAACCTAGTCAGATTGAAACTGTGTGTGTTCCTCGCTTGAAGTCTAAAGCACTATATGCGAGGAAATCTGACCTGGTGTCAGACACAGTAACTTAATAAAAGTTCAGACAGACAGAAATAGTTCTAAAAGTAGGGTTGTTAAATGTGGTTTAATGAACGTCAGATCAATCTCGTCTAAATCGCTTCTCATAAACGAACTTATTATAGACAAGGGCCTGGATCTGTTTGCGCTCTCTGAGACTTGGCTCCAACAGGACGAGTACGTTAGATTGAATGAGTGCACTCCTCCGACGCATGTTAACTACCAGAAAGCCAGAACTACAGGTCGCGGCGGTGGCGTTGCGATTATATCACATACCAACTTTCTTCTTAGTCCCAAAACCAACAATGCTTTTCACTCGTTTGCAAACTTAACACTTTCAATCACCTGTCCTGGGTGGAGAAAACAAAAAGCGGTGCTATTTATAGTTTTATACCGACCTCCTGGTGCTTACAGCGAGTTCCTAACAGAATTCTCTGACTTCATTTCAAACCTAGTTTTGGAATGGGAAAACATAGTTATAACTGGAGACTTCAATATACATGTGGACGACAGCACTGACAGCTTAAACAAAGCTTTCAGCGCCGTACTAGATGGTGTTGGTTTTACTCAGAATGTCGAGGAACCTACTCACATTCATAACCACACCTTGGACCTTGTCCTGACCTACGGCTGTGATGTCTCCAATGTTGACATCCAGCGTCAAAGCTCGTTGCTGTCTGACCATTTCTTGATCACGTTTGATCTCGCTTTGGAGGACTTTCCTGTCCCGCAAGATAAAACCATAATGAAAAGAACCTTAAATGATAAATCTATCACAAGGTTCAAAGAACTAATACAGCCTATGTTGAATACTGCTGCAGGTGAACCTGTTCACAGCAGCTGCAGTCCCTCAGTCATTGACCAAACGGTGGGCAACACTATGGAGTCTTTAAAATCTGCATTAAATGCAGCAGCTCCTTTAAAACAGAAAACCATTAGGATTAGATCATCGTCGCCCTGGTACAGTGTTCAACTCCACACTTTAAAACAGGACGTCAGAAAATTGGAGAGGCTATATTGCCA